CCCCAAAACCCCAAAACCCCAAAACCCCAAAACCCCTCTCCAACATCACAATATTGGTCCTAATTAAAAATTCCAGGAAATGAATTTTATTGCTTCTTCTCCTTCCTTGGTCCGATCTTAAAGCAATGAATTTCGAGGTACTTAGTCAGTTGCCCAATAGAGGTTTGAATGAACCTGAACGTGATGAGGAGCATCACCACAAATGTTGCATAGAAAGCAATCTTCAAGGCGCTCTCACTTTCTGGTGTTGCGTCATACTGGCTCTGAATATAGAAATAAGGAGCAAATATAAGAAATTCAAAATGGATGACGTTATACTCCATCTTGGACATCAGACAGACAATCAACTTGCAAGTCAACAATACGAACATACAGATCACTGAGATGTAAGCAATACCGGCATGATCTCTTACAAACAGAATGTCAGCATCATACAGGTACATCAAGCCATAAATCCCAAGATGCTGAATTATCTGGAGAAATGCAAACATTTTTTTCTGAACTCCTTTGGCACTATTCAGAAGTTTTATGATCATAGTGATCGAGAAGCCTACTCCCACATATATCAAGATCACCATCACATAGTGTTTCAACAAGTATCCATCAGAGAGGAAGTTTGGCATGAAGGGAAGCAAGTCAGATATTTTTCTTTGATAGACGTCTGCTCCACATGTGAAAGAGAGGATATTGAAAAACATTAGCATAAATTGAGCAGATGTGCCATCCATTATTCCAACAGAATAATAGAACACCCCAGTATTGTATTCGATCAAGTTGAGGAAATAAAAGGGTACCATTGCTGAATACATAGCAAGGATCCCGTTGAAAGAGAGGCCAAGACCCAAGAAGGAAATCACATTCATACTGCAGATAGTCCATGAAATGGAGTCACAACCGTGATCAAAAAGCTGACCTAAAGGCGAACTACTTCCTGTTCTTCTTGCCTGTTTCCCATCAATAGCATCAAGAGTTTGGAATGCAAAAATGCCAATCGCGACAAGCAGGTATGTGAACTCTGGAACTGGCTGGGTCATCGAGAGGTCAAACACCAACATTAAAAGGTATGCTCCTCCTAATGCTGCTAGCCCAACAAATGTGACGAGGTTTGGTGCCATCCATTTTGGCAAAAACTCGACTATCCAGATCCAGAATGGGTTCAGAAGATTATCCATTGGAGAGTACTCTCCAGGTACATATTTGTGATTCTCTAGAGGATTTATGAATCAATGCAAACATTAACTATACTACATAGATGCTGAGAAAGTAAAGAATCCTAAGTGAACAGGACTTACTGATATTCTCCTTGCCTTTTTCAGAGATGAAGTTTCCAAGCAAATAAGACATTTATACAAGATTCTACAAAAATTTACTCTTAAGGGGTTTTGGGGTTTTGGGGTTTTGGGGTTTTGGGGTTTTGGGG